GACGATGTCCCAGATGCGGACGGAAATCTCTTACACCTGGGGCAGCTGCAAGCCCTCCGGGAGGTCGAACGTGCGGTCCTGCAATTCTGAGGTCAGCGTCGGTAGGACGCCGTCCTTCTTGATGGTCTCCACCGCCCACGCAGGAACAAAGGTCTCTCCGTATATGTCGCCGAGTTTAGCTCCACTCACCCACAGGATAGACTTGCTCAGCATTGCACCATCTGGACTGACCACCTTGACTCTGACAAGTGGCACGCACGGGTGAACGATGTGTGCAGTAACTGTGCCAGTCAGAGGGATGCGCACCTTCGACAGAGTCTTGAGATCGGGCACCATGACAGTCAGCTTCTGGTTCTTTTTCCTGTTGGTGGCAATGTTCACCTCGCACGCCATATACGTATCCATGACATCTCCCGAGAAGCAGATCATATCGAGTTTCATCTGGAGAAAAGACATCAGCTTCTTGAAGTAGGCCTGATTGAAGTGCTCGCGTGGGATGCTGATCGAGGGAAGGTCATCGTCATCTCCGTCTTCCTTCTCGGTAGTGCCGACGTCAAAACCATCGCTGAAGGTAAGAAAGTCATTGAACGACCAGATCCCTGCCTTCCTCTTCGCGTCCTTGTCAGACTGCGGCTGCGGCTTCTGTGGCGCCGCTGGCTTCGCAACAGGCGGACCCTCAGCGGCACACCCAGACCCCAGGAATTTGTTCAAGTCATCGGACGTAGGCTTGATGCCCTTGGCGAGGGTCTTCACCAGTTCTACCCAGGCGCGCCTCTTGGTCTCATCGGTAGTCTCAACCACGTCGAATGTAGTGAGCTCCGCGAAAGTCTCCTTCGCGAAGAGCTTGGAGGCCGCCATGCACTCGACCACCTTCGAGCACTCGGTACAGACCTCCAACCCGTGCAGAGGACCATCAGCAGCACAAAGATCACCGAGCAGGCTCTGTAAATAACGCAAGCGAATGACGCCCAGCGCGTCGGCGACCTGGAAGTCAGTGACCACGTCGCGCATGTCATCTGGGATGCGAGCGTGATTGGCAACAGAGTCTGTAATATGGCGTACACTGACATACCACCACTGCCCGATTCCCAATCTGTGTGAAGGCCACATTCACGACATCCTCGAGCGTGATCGTCTTCTCAGGCGCCGTCACCTGGCTCCAGCACTCCATTGCCATATTTGAGTAGCAAGCTCCGTGCATGCGGACAGGGTTGGTAATGCGGGTATGTTGCAAGAATGTTTTCAAGGTGTCCAGATGCGCCAGGTAGTTGTCGTCCGGGCTGGCCTTCTCACCAGCATCGCCTACATCTTCCCCGTGTGCGCCCTGAGCGATCTCATCGGTGGCGCCTTCCTCATCCTCGGTCACTCTGGTGGAAGCCAGTAGCAGACTCACGCCCGACTCCT